ACCAAATAATATAAATACCGAATACTGTTAAAATTATAATATTATTAAATTTCAAAGATTAAAATAAAGAAAATGGTATAGAAGAGGGAGAAGAATGTGAGTTAAAGTTCTTTTTTATATACATTAAGAATTCAGTGTAAATGGGGGGTAAAAGATAAATATGCTATTTACAAATATGGTAGAAGTAAAAGAAATACTAAAAGCATTAAAATAATTTTACTCAGAACTAAGAATCAGAGGTGATGTGGAAATAGCAGGAAGTTTCTGTTTTCTCTCTGTTATTTTTTTTAAAGTGTTGCTTATAAATATGAAATTTAAATATAAAAAAAACAATTTGTATGTTTGTTATATCATTTAAAAAGCTCCTCTACTAGTTTCCATTTTTTATAATTTGCATTTTGTTATCATTGTTGTTGATTGTCTTCAGGTCGAGCACGACTCATAGTGACCCTATGAACAAAAGGCCTGAAGCCCCTCAACAACTATCGACATTTATCGAAGTTCGTAGGGTTTCAGAGTCATGTTGTTTAGAAAATGATGCCACTCTTGCTTCCAAAATTGCATTACACAAACTAAATAAAAATGTGTCTTAACTTACAATAGGGACATTTCATCCAGTATGGAAATCATATGAATGGACAAAACCAAAGCAAAGCCCAAATCAAAGTTATATCAATTTGTAAGAAATTTTTTTCAGGAGATGAGGTTGTGGTTTTGTTTGCTATTATGTTATAATTAGTAAAATACATCTGCCGTAGAAATACACTTGCTTTATATCCTGGCTTTTCATTTCCCTCCAGATAACATTTAAGCTGGATGTGCGATAATTGAAACTCATGAACAGATGTTACTAGGTCTCCGTTAGGCACAGAACCTGTTCAGATGTGTCATTACTTCCGGTATCCGTGGCTGAATATTCCGAGGATGATGCGTTCATTTCCTAGGGCTGCTATTACAAGTTACTATAGACTTGGTGGATTGAGACAGCAGACGTTGACCTTGACCCTCTCTTGATTCTGAAGGCCAGAAATTTTATGGCAAGATGTGTAGAGGGCTGTGCTTCCTTTGGAAGGTCTGGGAAAGCATCCATCCTTGCCTCTTCTAGCTTCTGGTGACTTTCCACACTACTCAGTGTTTTCATAGCTCCAATTTCTACCTGTGCCTTCACATGCCCTTCTCCCTGGGCCTTTTCCTTGATATATTCTATGAGTACCGTAGGAAACTCTGGTGGCCTAGTGGTATAAGAAACTGTTCTGCAATCCCAAAGGCATGCTTTTCAAACTCATCAGCTCCTCTGCAGAAGAAGGATGGACAATCTCCTCCAGAGTGATTTACTGCCTCTGAACACTGCCTGGGGGGATGGGGAGGGGTCAGCTATGTGTCTATTCTGACTCAGGAGCATGAAACAACTACATAAGGACCTTGATCATTGAATTCAGGGTCCACCTGGCTAAACCAGGATGATCTTGTCTTGAGATCTGTAGGTTAATTATAGCTGGGAAGATCCTACTACCAAATAAATACTTATTCAAAGGTTCTTGGAGGAGAGGTAGGTAGTCAAAATGTGGACATATTTATATGCATTGATAAGTTTAGATTTGGGTTTGGGTTTTAAGTTTAGAAAAGAGCATTCTATGGTAAATCAATGCTTTGTTGTTGTTTGTCACTGTCAAGTCATTTAAACTCATAGGGACCCTGTGAACAGCAAAGCAAAATACTATTAAGACCTGGGCCAACCTCATAATCATTCCTTTTGAGCCCATTTTTGCACCCATTGTGTCGATCCCTATAATTGAATGTTTTCCTCTCTTTTTACTGACTTTACCAAGTATGATGCCCTTTTCTAGGGACTGATCTTACAAAGACTCATCATGCTCACTTCTAGGGGATATTCAACTGGACATCTTCCAAGACTAAGAAAAAGGCTACTATTTGCTTCAAACTGTTGACCATCGATTTCTCTGTCTAAATTTACTTTTTCCATTTTCATTGTGTACCAAGGAATGTTTGAAATGAATTGACATAGGATAGTCTAAAGAACTTTTCAAAAAGCCCATTTTAAAAGAGTAGAATTTGGAAAAAGCACTTAGTAGAAATCAAACATGTTTCGTATGCCTTGTGGCAACTGAAGTTGAGTGATTTGTTTGATGTCATATTTGGTTATGACAGATCCAGAATTTTAGGCTTCTAACACAATTCTATTAATCCCCTCTATTTTTCTATCACTCTAAATATGACAAATGCATTTCCTTGGATGCCTTAAACATGTGTGAAAACAAACTGCAAAGCTTAAGAAAATTTACCTTCCTAGAAACTCAATGGCATTTAAAAAAAAGGAAATTTTAAAATAATTTGGACTTGAATTTTTCCTGTTTTATGTTCACTCTGCAGTGGATAACTTTGGGCAAACAACTTAACACTTCTCTGAGCCTCAATTTCTTTTTCTATAAAATAGAGACCTACTGTCACTTTCAAAGGTGGCTCTGGTGTCCTAGTGGTAAGAATCTGTGCTATAATCCCAGAGGCCTGCAGTTTAAATCCATCAGCTGCTCTGTGGGAGAAAGATGGGCCAATATCCTTTCATGCAATTTACTGCTTCTGAAAAGTTGCTGGAGAGTAAGTTTTGAGTTAGTTCTGACTCAATGACATAAAACAACTACAATAACATCACTTTCAGAGTATTATTTTGAGGCTTTGAAATAACTTAAGCACCTAAACTTCAGCACATACATACATAGTGACGATTCAATAAGGAATAGCTCCATCCTTCCCTTATATCACTCAGTTCATCATACTATAGGTCTTCCTTTCTTGGATTGGCAATTTCTTGTAATGGGTTTTCTTAGCAATAATTTCTTTTCAATGTTTATCAGGACTCTATAGTCTGTTTCTTCAAAATTCAAAGGAACTAGGCCACAAATCCCTCCTGATCCAGCTCTTAGTTACCATGCCTCTTCAGGAATGTAGAAGGTAAAAGTGTCCTGTCCACAGTATGCATGATTCTGATTCTAGTTCATTAGTGTGCTTCAAAAGCTGGGTGGGATTTTAGGTTGTAAGTTAATGGGATAGACACACAAGAGATTTGTAGATATACATCTGTATCTATCTAGCTTTTTTTAAAAAAATAGGATATCCCAAGTGCAGTGTTAACCTAAAGTTGGCTTTTTTTAGCCATTACCATTTCCACTCTCTGATTTCCAGCTACCTTAACTGCCGATACATTATCTTGCAAATCATCAACAGCTGTGGGACTAAGATAAGAGAAAGAGTTCTCTGCACACAAGCAACAAGGCTTGAGGGAGACTAGGGTAAAACCCTGGTGAGAGCAATACCCTGTTGGTAAGAACCTGGCAATGGTGGTAAAGAGACTATGGAATTGCTGTGGAGAAACTGTGGCAAGGGGAATCCTGAAATAGAGACCACAGTTAAAGGTTTTTACTATTCTTGCCAGATGATTGGAGGAAAAGCTGATACCTGAACTGAAACGAGAACCTGAACTAATTGAAGAATAGTGCCTTGAGACTGCTAGGTTAAAACCTGGACTGGTACTGAGTGATATTCTTTGCCTCCTTTACTCTCCAACTTACTTCCCTAATAAATCTCACTCTAGGTATCACAACTATGAGTAAAGTCTGTGAGTCAACAACAAATAAATGAACCTTTTGATGCTTCTGTGGCTCCAGAGGCACCATGGGTTTCGGTTGGCCTAGCTCCTCTAGGGTGGTGAGAAGCTGTTCTCACTCCCTCTGGCCCTTTCAGAAAGATGCTCACAGCCCTGGTTTTCCATGTCCCATTTTCTGCTCCTTTGCAACAATTTTTTCTCCATTTTATAAAGGTGTAGAAGAGTACTGAATATACAATGTTAAGAGAACAAACAGATTCGTCCTGAAGAGAGCGAAGCCAGGCTGCTCTTGGAGGCAAGGATTCTGAAGCTCCATCTGACATACTTTGGGCATGTTGCAAGGAGGGACCAGTCCTTGGAGAGGGACATCATGTTTGGGAGGGTGGAGTGACAGTGCAGGAAAGGAAGACCCTTGATGAGATGGATTGACTCAGTGACTGGGGTAATGGGAGTAGATGTGTCAGAAACAATAATGCTAGCTCAGGATAGACCAGGTTCAGAGCTGTTGTACATAGGGTCACTATGAGTCACAGTTGACTTGATGGCACATAATAACAACAACTATATATTTAAATATAATATTTAAATAAAATTATCTTCTCATACTCTTTCATCTACTTTTATTTACCACATTTTTCCAATTGTTAGCATATTGAGAGACAACGGAAACCTCTTCACATCAACCACCTATTTTCAAATAAAGCTTTGTCCACATTTCAGGATATTTATAAGCCAGTATATGAAAAGGGCAATTATGAGGCCAAAGGCCATAAACATTTTTAATGTTGCTGACATTTATTCCCAAATTGCTTTGCAGAAAAGCTGGTGTTCTTTTCTTTTGAGTTTAATCCCAAAGCAACTCTATGTGGCAAGAGAAGCAACTAAGGTCATGTAGAACCATGGAAGTATTAGTGTTCAACCAGAACTAACAGCTCATGAATGTTTCTATGAAAAAAACCTTCAAGTTATGTATAGTGTTCGCTTAGCTGCAGTTAAAACTAGCTAACAACCTTCCTGGGACTCAACATTTAAATACGACACCAAAGAGTGAATTGTCAGCTCAAGTCTTGAGTACAGGCAGCTGTATGCTCTCTGTTCTTGGGCTGTTTCCACTGACCTGCTTACATGAATGTTTAGCTCAAAGATAATTTACAATAAACTCTTGTCACTTGAAAATGAGCAGCCTGGACAATGTTCAGTCCATTTGAATACTGAGAAAATAAACAAGCTCGGATGAGATTTCTTCTTGTCTTTGCAGTCCATTTTGGAATGAGTGCTCCAAATACTTCACTTTCTTCTGAAGCTCAAAGAAGATTTTATTGAAAATAAAGCTGTTTATTTGGCAATCTGGGGGGACCTCTTTTCAGAAACCACAGCAATGGATGGCTTTGGAGTCCTACTTCGAAGGAACCAGTTCACCTTCCTTGTCCTCTTTCTTTTGCACATTCAAAGTCTGGGCCTGGATATTGACAGTCGTCCTACCACTGACATCTGCGCCACACACACAATTTCACCAGGACCCAAAGGTGAGAAAGGGGAAATATAATTTCCATCCGTGATAATTCCCTCATCCTACAGCTCCACCTAAGCGCCTTTCTTCCCCTCTCGCGTGTTTTCTCATGCTCCTTCTCTTTGGGAAAAGGCTAAGACTTGTTTCTTTTTTAAAGCTTTTCCTTGTCTTTAGAAATGACAAGAAAATAAGACACTATTGGGATGGGCTAGATTCTGGGGGCAGGGTATTCATCCAGGCCAGGGAGAATTCTTTCTTCCCTACACATGCACAAATCAAGGCATTAGTCTTTATGACTTTCTTTAAGAGCATTCTTTCTTCTTGGTTTCTTTTCGTTCAAGCTCATTTCTCATACCATTTCTGGTAGAACTTCTGGGTGAAAGGTTAGCAGGGTAGGAATTAAATTTTTGTTACATTTTATAATATAAATAGATTCTTCATTTCCAATGAAGAGGCTGGGGAATTTTTGTTAGGGGTTAGAGGTAATATATAAATGAACATTTCTTTTATTTGAAAAGTGGAGTCTTTGAGGCCAAGTGCCTTGAGCTAACGGATGATAAAATATTGCAAAAACATTTTTTTTAAGTAGAGGCAAAGTCCAAATATGCTTCAAGCAACTGGTTGATAAAAAGTACTGCTGTTTTCTAGCACTGGCTCCACACTTTTGTTCTGAAAGTGGTCACTGCAGTGCAGATTGGCATTTCCTTATTAGTAATTCATGCTATGTTTCTCCCGGCTATACGGTGGAAGGAAAGAAGCTGCTTAAATTTTTAAGTAGAAAAAAGGGCCTTTCAAAAAAATCAGAAACACATCACCCTATGCTTGTCAGTTATTTAAATGTGTATTGCTTAAAGTGCATTTTTTTAATCAGTGAATTAATTTCCTCCTAAGATTGCAATCCAAGTTTTAACCTTTGATACCATAAAATAAATGCAGGGAGGAACAATGGGACCTCAGGGCTTCCAAACAATTTCTTGGGTGAATAAATGAATAATGTGAGGGCAGATCCTCAGAAAAGAAAGTTTTGGTTAGAAGTAAAGTATTTACTTAAACCCTTTCTGCATTTTCTGTAGAATACACTAAACTTTGTGTTAGTCTTAGAGTTTTGGGAGAGTAGGGAGGTGGGAGCAGGAGCTACTGAAATGTGTTTTCTTCGCCTCTGCAAATGAGACAGTCCATTTGAGAATGACATGGTTAAATAATTATCCTGGCAGGAAAATAGCAACTTTGAAACTGGGAAATGGGAGATGAAATTCTGTTAAGGTAATGTGCATAATATAGTGCATTCCACAACAAGAATTCCATGCATTCCAATTCAGTCAACATATTGAACACCTACTTGATGGCAAACATTCTTTTAGGCACTGAAATATAAGAACTCATGACATAAGAGGAATGAAACTAATGTGAATAACACCATAATAATGCATTAAATAATATATATTAGTGTCACAGGCAATAAAGAGATAATCAGTTTAGCTGGGAGAAGGGAGAGAGCTTAGGATATTTCCTGAGAAGAGAGATTTTGCATTGGGATTCAAGTGTGATTATTTTAAGCAAATGGGTGTGGAGGGTGGAGTCCTTCAGGGAATGAAAAGAGTTTGGCAGAAACAAGAACAAAAAAATCTGTAGAATGTACTTGGTGGGGGGAGAAGAAATCCCATTAATCCCAGATTTGGATAATTTGCAAGATGAAGATAAAAATTTTAAATCCTTCCAGCAACAAAACATGAAGTAAACGTGTAAGAACTTTTTTGAAACCATTTTATCACTTTAATCCGTATGCAATAAAAATTTATTGACTGTTAATGAGGTGTCCACCATGAGTCTTCCGCGCTTCATTTCTCTACCTCACACTTAACTTTTGGCTCCCAATCAGAAACTCTGTTAACATTTCTGACTACCTTTACTCTATTTCTGAATCTCCATAAAAAATTTAGAGGTGATTGTAAGTAAAAAATATGACAGAATGAAGATATATATACTCATGGAACAGAGCCATTTCAGAAGGAATGTTCTAGAACTCTATGCTCCAGAACTATATCTTTCAGACTTCATTATGATTTCTACTTCTTTGCCAGAGCCTCAGGACTTTGGATCAGTGAACTCGAAGTTTCCTGCTTTGCAGTATCTCATGATTCTGGAACATACTGAAATGTATTGTTAGTCCCAGGTTTTATGTAAAGTAACAAGGTGGTTACGCTAAGGAAGATAAGGCCTTTGCCCTAGAATTTGTATCAACAGTGTACGCTTTGTATTAATTGCAAACTCTTGAAGGTCAGGGCTTAGTTAACTGGTTTGGTTTTCTTTCTTTGGTAATTGCCTGCCCATTGACCTTCCTATACTAACGCATTGTGCTAGTTGTGAATTGTTATTGTTGTTGTTGTTATGTGCCGTCAAGTCGCTTACAACTCATAGTAACCCTGTGTACAAGAGCCCTAAACCCTGCTTTAGCCTGTGTCAACCTCATTGTCTCCGACACACCTACTCCCACTACCTCAATCACTGAATCAATCCACCTCACAGAGGATCTTCCTTTCCTTTACTGTCTGTCCCTCCACTCTGCCAAACATGATGACCCTCCACAAGGACTGGTCCCTCCTTGCAACATGCCCAAAGTACGTCAGACAAAGCTTCAGAATCCTTGACTCCAAGGAGCAGCCTGGCTTCACCCTCTCTAGGAAGAGCCCATTTGTTCTCCTAGCAGTCCTTGGTATATTCAACACATCCCTCCAGCACCACAGTTCAAAGGCATCAATTCTCTTTCTATCATCTCTAGTCTCTGTCCAGCTCTCTGATGGATAGCACGCAATTCCGAAGACTATAGCCTGTATCAGGCTATAATTTGAATACATAACAAATAAAAGGAATTGTGCCTTCTCTCCAGATCTCAGATTTCATTTAAACAAGGAAGGGAGGAAGGGTGGGAGGGAGGAGGATAAGAGAGAGAGAGAGAGAGAGACTTAGTTGCCAATAATTCAACTCTGACTCAAGGCAACCCCAAATGTGTCAGAGTACATCTGTCTACAGGATTTTTAACAACTGATTTCAAGGCAAAACATCACCAGGTCTTTCTTCTAAGGAGCACTTACTGTCATCAAGTTGGAACCAATTCATAGTTAACCCTCTGGTGGGTTTCCAGAAATTGAAATTACATAGAAGAAGATTGTGTCTCTTTCTCCCATGGAGCAGCTGGTGGATTCAAACCACCAGAGAGGTGGCACCTTTGGGCTAGCAAACACTTTTCTCCGGACTGTGCCTCTGGAGCTCCTTGTCAACCCTCTCATCTCTCAGCTGGTAGCCATGTGCCTTAATTTTTATGCCATCCAAAGACTCAAGCTTCCCCACAGTCTGCTTCCTTACTTTGTGAACAACTTTGTACAACACTCTCTTCTCCCACCTAAACAGGGCAGACTTACTTTTTAGTTCTACAGAATGTTTGGAGGCTAAGCTATCATTTTCAGGAACTAGGTTACTGTCTTTGTTGAGTACATTTTTTCTAAGCTGAAGCTGATCTCTTATGGCTAATCATCTAGTATTACATTTACAAGCATTCTACAAAAAAAATTTCCCTCAATTCATATATATATTTCTATCTCTATATCTATATATATGTTGTTGTTGTTGTTAAGTGCTGTCAAGTTGTAGATGACTCATAGCAACCCTATGAATGAAAGACATGAACACTTCTATAACTTTCATCATTTCTCCAAATCCATAGGATTTCTGGAGGCAAACTGTTTATGGAAGTGGATGCCACTCCTGCTTCCAAGCTTGTTTCAGTCGGGGAGCTCCACCAAACACCGTCCACCATGGGTAACCATTGTCACATTTGACACATCAGTGTCACAGTGTTCAGCTTCACAGCAACCACAAGTTACCTCTGTACAGTAAATAAACAGATCAGTGCTATGCCACTTTATATTTGATATATATATATATATATATATCCCAGAAGAGACTCTGAAAATTACTGATGATTTCAAAGCAAAGATCTAGAAGACAAAATATTATGGCGAAATATGCAAACACTCCAGAGTTAGTAAACGAAAAGCCATGAATGTGCTCAAGGTGGGAGAACTGAAGAAAAACTTAAAGCCTCCAGTTATAACATTGAAGGATTCTATGGATAAAATATTGAATGATACATGAAAACATTAAAGAAAATGGAAGGAATATACAGAGTCACTATACCAAAAAGAGTTATCATTCAATCATTGCAGGAAATAAAATGAACAGAAAACAATGGTATTAAAGAGTTCTTATGCTGGAGCTCTGGTGGCCTCGTGGCAAGAAACTGTGCTGCAATCCTAAAGGCACATGGTTTGAGGCTACCAGCAGCTCCATGGGAGAAGAATGGGCCATCTCCTCCCGTGGGATTAACTGCCCCTGAAAACCCACCAGAGGAACAGCTGTGGGTTGGTTTCAACTCTATGGTACATAACAACAACAACAACACTATGGTGTAATCTATAGAATGTTCCACTGCTTACCAAAAACCAATGGTACTAAAGGAAGATGTTTAAGCTACATGGAAGTCATTGGCAAAAATTAAGGTTCTAGGTACTGACAGATTATCAACCAAAGAATTACAACAAACATAGGTTCAAACAGAACAAGTGAATATTGAATGGTTTAAAATTAGAAAAGATGCATGTCGTGGGAGTATCCTGCCACTGTACTCAGTCACTTACATATGCCAAGGAATTTAGAAGACTGTCATCTACCTGACCAATCTATTGGAAAAGATCCATATTTATGCACAGTCCTCAAAAAGTGAGCCAACCAAATGCAGAAATTATCAAACAATGTCACTAATATTGTTGTTGTTGTTATGTGCCGTTGAGTTGCTTGCGACTCATAGTGATCCTATGTACAGCCCTGAAACCTGCTCTATCTTGTGCCAACTTTACTGTCTTTTAATTTTTTTAAAATTTTATTATTTGTGTGTACTGTCAAATCAGATCTGACTGGTACAGGAAGAGATTGTCCCTCCTTCCCCAGCAGAGCATCTGG